AGCTCCTCGTGTGGAGACATGAGAAGTCTCCCACAAGGATGGAAACACATCAAAACATCCGGGCGTTCCCTGGGCAACATCCTTGCAGACGGCCAATTCTCTCACACCAGAAATGACTTGCAGTTTCTCAAGTCACTCCTGACACGACAGAAAAAAAACATTATTATCATTTGATACACAACAAGATGAGTACACAGCAAACAAGATGATTCTGGTGGTTGTTGTATTGGCTGACACATTGGACACTTCCCAAATGTCGAGGACTTTGCGATGTATTGGTGGATAATGTGTGCTGATCCGAGTAGGGTTGCCTTTTGCAGATGACAGATGGTGATTTTGTCAGCGCCGATTGTTTTTAAGTAAAGGGCCAAGGTCTTGAGGCACTGCACCCAATGTGTCGATCACCACTGGGACCACCTTGATTGGCTTGTGACAGAGTCTTTGCAGCTCTATCTTTAAATCCTCATATCATGTAAGCTTTTCCAGTTGCTTCTTGTCAATTCTGCTGCCATTGTTGTTGTTGTTGTTACAATTCTGCTGCTGCTGCCATTGTTGTTGTTGTTAGCAATCAATGCTTGAGTTTGGAGTAAAGTAACTGCTTTGGCAGACGGTGGCCGGTCCAGCAGAGTTGATGGCGGAGGAGCATCGCTTCAGTCCTGGTGGTCTTTGCTTCTTCCAGCATGCTGGCGTTTGTCCACTTGTCTTCCCAAGAGATTTGCAGGATTTTCCGGAGGCAACGCTGATGGAATCGTTCCAGGAGTTGCATGTGACGTCTGTAGACAGTCCACATCTCACAGGCGTATAGCAAGATTGGAAGGACAATAGCTTTATAAACAAGCATCATGGTATCCCTACGGATGTCCCAGTCCTCAAACGCTCTCTGCTTCATTCGGAAAAAATTTGCACTCGCAGAGCTCAGGCGGGGTTGTATTTCAGTGTCAATGTTGACATCTGTAGATAGTCCACATCTCTCAGGCGTATAGCAGGGTTGGGAGGAAATAGCTTTATAAACAAGCACCTTGGTCTTTCTATGGATGTCCCGGTCCTCAAACACTCTCTGCTTCCTTCAGAAGAATGCTGTACTCGCAGAGCTCAGGTGTCAATGTTGACATCTGTAGACAGTCCACGTCTCATAGGCGTATATCTGGGTTGGAAGAAAATATGTTTATAAACGAACACCTTGGTCTCCCTACGGATGTCCCAGTTCTCAAACACTCGCTGTTTCATTCGGAAAAATGCTGCACTTGCAGAGCTCAGGCCGGGTTGTATTTCAGTGTCAATGTTGACGTCTGTAGACTGTCCACATCTCGCAGGCATATAGCAGGGTTGGGAGGACAATAGATTTATAAACAAGCACCTTGGTCTCCCTACAGATGTCCCAGTCCTCAAACGCTCTCTGCTTCATCCGGAGAAATGCTGCACTCGCAAAGCTCAGGCGGTGTTGTATTTCAGTCTCAATGTTGACATCTGTAGATAGTCCACATCTCGCAGGCATATAGCAGGGTTGGGATGACAATAGATTTATAAACAAGTACCTTGGTCTCTCTACGGATGTCCCAGTTCTCAAATGTTCTCTGTTTCATTCGGGAAAATGCTGCACTCGCAGAGCTCAGGCGGGGTTGTATTTCAGTCTCAATGTTGACATCTGTAGACAGTCCATGTCTCGCAGGCATATAGCAGGGTTGGGAGGACAATAGATTTATAAACAAGTACCTTGGTCTCTCTACGGATGCCCCAGTTCTCAAACGTTCTCTGTTTCATTCAGAAAAATGCTGCACTCGCAGAGCTCAGGCGAGGTTGTATTTCAGTGTCAATGTTGACACCTGTAGACAGTCCATGTCTCTCAGGCGTATAGCAGGGTTGGGAGGACAATAGATTTATAAACAAGTACCTTGGTCTCCCTATGGATGTCCCGGTCCTCAAACACTCTCTGCTTCATTTGGAGAAATGCTGCACTCACAGAGCTCAGGCGGAGTTGTATTTCAGTGTCAATGTTGACTTTTGTGGAGAGGTGGCTGTCAAGGGAGCGGAAATGGTCAACATTTTCTAAAGCTGTTTTTCTGGCATTGGAGAGGGATTGGCTGGTGACTGATGGAAGAGCACTCAATGTTCCGAGCTTCTCGTATGCTTCTGCAAAGGTGTTTACAGTAGCTTGTAGGTCTTCTTCTGAATGCGCACATACGATGTTGTCATCAGCATATTGGATTTCTATAACAGATGTTGTTGTGACCTTAGTTTTAGATTTCAGTCTGCTCAGGTTAAATAGCTTCCCAACAAAAAGATGAAGTATCATAGCGTTGAAGATGGAAAATAACGTTGAGGCAAGAACACATCCCTGTTTGACACCTGATTCCACCTTAAATGGGTCACTTTGGGAGCCATTGTTGTCCAAGACTGTTGCCAAAGGAAGTACCACATATGGAGAATGATGCCCCGTGGTTGCAGTGGCCGCCGGTCCCGTTCCAAGGGTCCCGCAGCATTGCAAGTGGTGTGGAACTGCATTAATTCTACAGTGCAGTCGCACCCTGTGGTTGCCAACACGCCTGAGGGCTCCTGGCATGTTTTAGCACACTTCAGCGTCTCTGCGGTTCTCAACCTCTCTCTCGTTGGTGAGAAAAAAGGCCGCCTTGACGGCGGTTGCACCTGCCAAGCGGCCAGGCGGGGCGGATGGTGCCATAAGTCTCCCCACGAACCGGAAAAACCACCTCATTCGGGAGCGAGCGCTTGGCGACTTTCTGTCCCGGGGAATTGTGCATTTCTGTGTGCGTTTGTGGAGGCGTTGAGAGCTCGGAGAGGCCCAAGGAGACGTGGCAAAACCCATTACTTCCATAGTCCCAGACTCCTTCCCAATCCCTAAGATGATAGGCTCCTAGAGTTGAAGGGATCCCCCAAAGGTCATCCAGTCTAACCCCATTCTGCCAGGCAGGAAGACACAATCAAAGCCCTCCTGACAGATGGCCATCCAGCCAATGCTTAAAAACCTCCAGAGAAGGAGAACCCAGGGATTCCCAGGGTGTCACTAGAGTTGGAAGTGACTTCTACATAGGAAGACACAATCAAAGCCCTGCCGACAGATGGCCAGAGAGCCTCTGCTTAGAAGCCTCCAGAGAAGAGACCCCAAGGTACTCCCAGGGAGTCACAAGAGTTGGAAGTGACTTCTACATTGGGAGACACAATCAAAGTCCTCCCAAGAGATGGCCACCCAACCTCTGCTTAAAAACCTCCAGAGAAGGAGACCAAGGGATTCCCAGGTAGTCATGAGAGTTGGAAGTGACCTCCAGGCAGAAAGACACAATCAAAGTCTTCCCAACAGATGGCCATCCAGCCAATGTTTAAAAACCTCCAGAGAAGGAGACCAAGGGATTCTCAGGTAGTCATGAGAGTTGGAAGTGACCTCCAGGCAGAAAGACACAATCAAAGCCTTCCCAACAGATGGCCATCCAGCCAATGTTTAAAAACCTCCAGAGAAGGAGACCAAGGGATTCCCAGGTAGTCATGAGAGTTGGAGGTGACCTCCAGGCAGGAAGACACAATCAAAGCTTTCCCTACAGATGGCCATCCAGCCAATGTTTAAAAACCTCCAGAGAAGGTGACCCCATGGGGTTCCCAGGGAGTCACTAGAGTTGGAAGTGACTTCTACATAGGAAGACACAATCAAAGTCCTCTTGACAGATGGCCACACAGCCTCTGCTTAAAAACCTTCAGAGAAGGAGATCCCAAGAGATTCCCAGAGAGTCACTAGAATTGGAAGTGACCTCCAGGCAGGAAGACACAATCAAAGCCCTCCTGACAGATGGCCATCTAGGCAATGCTTAAAAAGCTCCAGAGAAGGAGAACCCAGGGATTCTCAGGGAGTCACAAGAGTTGGAAGTGACTTCTACATAGGAAGACACAATCAAAGTCCTCCTGACAGATGGCCATCTAACCTCTACTTTGAAACCTCCAGAGAAGGAGACACCAAGGGATTCCCAGACAGTCACAAGAGTTGGAAGTGACTTCTACATAGGAAGACACAATCAAAGACCTCCCGACAGATGGCCATCCAGCCCCTGCTTTAAAACCTCCAGAGAAGGAGACCCCAAGAAGTGACTTCTACATAGGAAGACACAATCAAAGCCCTCCCGAGAGATGGCCACCCTGCCTCTGCTTCAAAACTTCCAGAGAAGGAGACCCCAAGGGATTCCCAGGTAGTCACTAGAGTTGGAAGTGACTTCTACATAGGAAGACACAATCAAAGCCCTCCCAACAGATGGCCAACCAGCCCCTGCTACATTGGAAGACACAATCAAAGCCCTCCCGACAGATGGCCATCTAGCCTCTGCTTAAAAGCCTCCAGAGAAGGAGACCCCAAGTGATTCCCAGGGAGTCACTAGAGTTCGAAGTGACTTCTACACAGGAAGACATAATGAAAGCCCTCCTGACAGGTGACCATCCAGCCTCTGCTTAGAAGCCTTTAGAGAAGGAGACCTCAAGGTATTTCCAGGGAGCTACTAGTGTTGGAAGTGACTTCTATATAGGAAGATACAATCAAAGACCTCCCAACAGATGGCCACCCAGCTCCTGCTTAGAAGCCTCCAGAGAAGGAGACCCCAAGGGATTCCCAGGGAGTCACTAGAATTGGAAGTGACCTCCAGGCAGGAAGACACAATCAAAGCCCTCCCATTAGATGGCCACCCAGCCTCTGCTTAAAAAGTCAACATAGTAGGTATTTAACATTTCTGGGCACGTACAGCCACACCCACCAGATGACAGGTTACCACCTTGCAAATGATTTGAGATCCATGTCATAGTTTTGATTTCTTTGTCTAAACAGTGGGTTACCATGGGTTCAACTCCTCCCATTGATGGGGTTTGGAATCTTGAGTTTTATTATTCATTCTGATATGCTTATTCATTCCATTTATAGTCCAACCCAGTGATTCCGATCATTTTATGTGCGTGTGTGTGTATGTCAGGAGCAACTTGAGAAACTACAAATCTCTTCGACAACACATTCTTACCAGCTGCTCTCCGGAGAGGACTTCCAGGAGGCGGAGAAGCATCCGTCCGTCCCGCAAATCGCTGTAGAGGTCGCTGATGCGGCAGGTGACGCGGGCCAGGTGAGAGTTCACCCATTTGGTGAAGGTCTTCTTCTGCACAGCCTCTCGCTCATCTGCAAGACAAAGGGATAGCTCCTGAGCATACAACGAACAAAGATCCACTCCTTTGACGGTCCCAACATATTCCAGGAGGAGAAGCATGGACAAATGCAAGATACTCCATTTAGGTAGAAAAAACAGGAAATGCAAAGAGACAGAATGTGTCCAAAAGAGGGCGACTCAAAGGGTCAAGGGTCTGGAGAACAAGCCCTATGAGGAGCGGCTTAAAGAGCTGGGCATGTTTAGCCTGCAGAAGAGAAAGGAGCAAGCTTGTTTTCCGCTGTCCTGGAGACTAGGATGCGGAACAACGACTTCAAACTACAAGAAACTACACCGGGACTGTGGCATGGCTGGCTAGGAGTCAGCTGCATTAAGATCACTACTGACCGAGAAGTCATGAGTTCGAAGCTAGCCCACGTCAGAGTGAGCTTCTGACCAATTTGTGTAGCTTGCTGTCGACCTTTGCAGCCCGAAAGACAGTTGCATCCACTTTGTCAAGTAGGAAATTTAGGTACCACTTATGCGGGGAGGCAAATTTAACTAATTTACAAGGCCATAAAAATCTCCAGCAAGCATGCAAAGAATGAGGAAGTACTTCATCAGTGTCACAATTATTATTATTATTATTATTATTATTATTATTATTATAACTTTATTTGTACCCCGCTAGCATCTCCCGAGGGATTCGATGCGGCTTACACAGGCCGAAGCCCCAAAAACACAGTACAACAATACAATACCTAAAGCAAATTAAAAACAGTTAAGCAGGAAAAACAATAACAGTAGCAATATGACAAGACACTATTAAAACTGGGCCAGCCAGAGTAGGGCTTTTATATCCTGTCCTCTCTCAACCTCCGAGATAGGATAGGATATAGGATGAGATTTGTTTGAATTCTTCTTTGGTGATTTCTCCCTTTTTCCACTTCTTGTGCATGTCTCTTTTGTGTTTTAGCACAGTTGATTCTATGATTCTATTATTTATTGCCCTGTCCCGAAAGCTTGGTCCCACAGCCAAGAATGAGGAAGTACTTCATCAGTGTCATTATTATTATTATTATTATTATTATTATTATTATTATTATTATTATTTTGGGCTTTTATATCCTGTCCTATCCTCAGGAAATTTAGGTACCGCTTATGTGGGGAGGCAAATTTAACTAATTTACGAGACCATAAAAATTTCCAGCAAGCATGCAAAAATGAGGGAGCACTTCATCAGTGTCACTATTATTATTATTATTATTATTATTATTATTATTTTGGGCTTTTATATATCCCGTCCTATCTCAGGAAATTTAGGTACCGCTTATGCGGGGAGGCGAATTTAACTAATTTATGATGCCATAAAAATCTCCAGCAAGCATACAAAGAATGAGGAAGTACTTCATCAGTGTCACAATTATTATTATTATTATTTTGGGCTTTTATATCCCGTCCTATCTCAGGAAATTTAGGTACCGCTTATTCAGCAAGCATGCAAAGAATGAGGAAGTACTTCATCAATGTCACAATTATTATTATTATTATTATTATTATTATTATTATTATTATTTCGGGCTTTTACGGTATATCCCGTCCTATCTCAACTTCCGGAGAGGGTCACAGGACAGTGACAGCTCCCCTAGTGGCCACAATACCCTCAAGAAAAAGCTGGGATGTTCAATTGCTTCCGTGTCTTTCTATATATGTTGTGTGTCTACGGCATTGAATGTTTGCCATGCGTATGTACATTGTAATCCGCCCTGAGTCCCCTTCGGGGTGAGAAGGGCGGCATATAAATGCCGTAAATAAATAAATAAATACATAAACATTAAAAACATTTATCAAAATATTAAAATACACAATTTAAAACCATCCTGGTCATCCATGTCAAATCTAGTTGGCCTGGTCATTTTTCCTATGAGGAAGTACTTCATCAGTGTCATCATTATTATTATTATTATTATTATTATTATTATTATTATTATTATTTCGGGCTTTTATATCCCATCCTATCTCAACCTCTGAGATAGGATGGGATATAGGATGAGATTTGTTTGAATTCTTCTTTGGTGATTTCTCCCTTTTTCCACTTCTTGTGCATGTCTCTTTTGTGTTTTAGCACAGTTGATTCTATGATTCTATAATTTATTGCCCTGTCCTGAAAGCTTGGTCCCACAGCCAAGTTTTTACCAGGACAGGAGAGAGGAGGCCGACCTGATCTCACCAGGAAGGGAATTCCATAGCTGGGGGGCAATCACCGAGAAGGCTCTGTCTTTCGTCCCCACCAATCGCGCCTGTGACAATGGCGGGATGGAAAGCAGGGCCTCCCCGGAGGATCTTAATCTCTGCGATGGTTCATAGGGAGAGATGCGTTTGGACAGGCAATTCGGTTAAGCGGAGGCTGGATGGCCATCTGCCGGGGATGCTTCGAATACGATTTTCCTGCAAAATGGGGTTCGACTGGATGGCCCATGAGGTTTCTTCCAACTCTAGGATTCTATCAGCAGATGCTAGGCTCCTCTTCAGTTATGAATATTCCCCGAGTTGTGAGCTCACTATTTCCAGGAGTCAACTCACATGCTTGTCTTGACCTGGAAGAACTTCTGTCCTGGGATGGAGGCCAAAATAGTGGACCTCTGGCCCTCCAGATGTGTTGTCCTGCCCCTCCTAGCAATCTCACCCAACATCCCAAAAAGCATTCCCAAAGTGTCCCTAAATTCCATGCGAAATTGTTCTTTGGATGTCAGGCAAAACACTCATCATCATCATCACCATCACCATCACCATCACCATCACCACCACCATCAATAGCTTTTCTGGTTTATTTGAAAAAGTAATTTTTTAAATTCTCCAAAATGCATAACTACAACTCCCATCATGCCAGGTTAACTCCCAGAAACTCCATCAGTACTTCAAGTTTGTTATGTTGGGCAGGTTTGCTCTAGATGCATCCTCGGTGAGGTTCAGTGTGCTCTCTGGCTGCAGGTAGTTGTAGTTCACCGATGATGGGCCTGGACCAAAGTTGGCACACAGAACCCCCATGACTAACTCAACCGACTGGAGCAGTTTGAGGTGACTGACTCACCATAATGGGAGTTGTAGTTTACCCTGCAGACCTGATATGCCCAAAATTGATTACTGGAGGGTTTTTTGGGGGGACTGCCCTTCCTTTCCGGAAGTTGTAGTTCACCCACAACTAGAGAAACGGTGACCATTTATGAAGGGCTTGGACCAAACTTAGCACAAAGAACCCCCGTGAATAACTTGAGGGGAAACTGACATTCCTTTCTGGGAGCTGTAGTTCACCCACAACCAGGGAAACTGTGACCTCCACCGATGATGGACCTGGACCAAAGTTGGCACACAGAACCCCCGTGACTAACCCATCCTACTGGAGGGGTTTGAGCGGACTGACTCACCATAGTGGGAGTTGTAGTTTACCCTGCAGCCAGAGAGCACACTGAACCTCACCGTGGATGCATCTAGAGCAAACCACTGGAAAAATTGACACCAAATTTGGACACAAGACACCTAACAACCCAATGTATGTCCTTCACTCAGAAAATATATGACTTTGTCATTTGGGAGTTGTAGTTGATGGGATTTATTGTTCACCTACAATCAAAGAGCATTCTGAACTCCACCAATGATGGAATTGAACCAAACTTGGCACACAGAACTCCCACGACCAACAGAAAACACTAGAAGGGTTTGGTGGGCATTGGCCTTGAGTTTGGGAGTTGTAGTTCACCTACAGCTAGAGAGCACTGTGGACTCAAACAATGATGGATCTGGACCAAGCTTGGCATGAATACTCAATATGCCCAAATATAAACACAGATTGAGTTTGGGGGAACTATACCTTGACTTTTGGGAGTTGTAGCTACTGGGATTTATAGTTCACCTACAATCATGGAACATTCCGAACTCCACCAATGATAGAATTGGGCCAAACTTCCCACACAGAACCCCCATGTGGGCCACAGCAATGCGTAATAATAATAATAATAATAATAATAATAATAATAATAATAATAATGCTATATCCCGGCTAGTAATAATAATATTGGAATTTTAATTGTATTGTTTTGAATGTAAGTTGCTTTGAGTGGAGAGAAAAAGTGGGGTATAGTATTATTATTATTAATAATAATAATAATAATAATTAAATATTATTATTACTAGCCGGGATAGAGTATTATTATTATTATTATTATTATTAATAATAATACTATATCTCAGCTAGTAATAATAATGTTGGAATTTTAATTGTATTGCTTTTAATGTAAGTCACTTTGAGTGGAGAGAAAAAGTGGGGTATAGTATTATTATTATTATTAATAATAATTAAATGTTATTATTACTAGCCGGGATATATTATTATTATTAATAATAATAATAATAATAATAGTAATACTATATTCCGGCTAGTAATAATAATATTTAAATAATAATAATAATAATAATAATAATAATAATAATACTATATCCCGGCTAGTAATAATAATATTTATTTAATTAATAATAATAATAATAATAAAAATAATACTATAACCCACTTTTTCTCTCCACTCAAAGCAGCTTACATTAAAAGCAATACAATTACAATTACAATACGTTCCCAATATGCCAGTCTCATTCTTCTTTTAATCACCTTAGAGGTAGACAAGATTATCTGTTTATCCCCGATTATATGGCAGTGGAGACTCATATAATCCAGTTCAAAGCAGATAATGTGAGTATAAGATCCTGGGATACAGGGCAATGGAGATCCAGCCAAAGAGACTAAAACACAAAACCAAGCTATCCCTTTGTCCAAAGTTTTGACCTAGCGAGACTGTTTTGAATCAAATTTGCAAAAAGTCAATACTGCACAATGCAAAGGGACGGCTGCAATAACAGTATCGGTACAAACAATAACAACAACAATGACTACTTGTCGGTGCACGCTTTTTCTCTCTCTGTGGTTTAGCATGGGTTTCTGCACAGCTGGCATTTATTTGCCCTGGAGCCGAGGCAGGTGATGCTC